CTCCATACTTAGAAATAAGTAGTTGTTTATCATTCGTCATATAGAAGCCTTAAAGAGCACTTCTTGTTGTGCATACATGCTTAAGGTAATAAATAAATAAAGGAAGACAAATCTTCTCCTTTTGTAAAACTAATAATTTTTTGTGTTTTATTCTTTTTGTGCATTTACACTGAACCAAATCGGATTGACGCCGAAACACTGCCTATATAGAGCAAAAATATTTAAGCCTTATAGATAAGAACTATGTATTCAAACATTTTTAACAAATTTATTTTATTTTATTATTCGACGATACTTATATCAGGATAATAATTTAAAGTTTAAATCATTACTGTACAACTGTAACCTTAAACTCGGTTCAGATTTATTAACCTCTGAGTCATCATAAATTCTAGGAAGAAATCCTCTTAATTAAAACATACGTAGGTATAGTTTCCAGAAAAATTTCAGTCAAATAGGAACTTAGTAGGTATAGAAATGTCAAAAATTTTACATAATTACCCAGTCGAATTTTGAGTTAACTTAAAACTAACTCATCGTTAACAACAAATTAGTCGTAGGTGAATCAAAATGTAAGCATTTAGCTTATAAATGTTATGTCATAGTTTTTAAATGTTATGTCATAGGAACAAGTCAGTATTCACTCACTTTACATCAGTTTCAGCTAACCTCATGATGAGTTGGCTTCTGGTATATAATTAAAGGGGCAGCTTTGCAATATTCTTTTATTTCCATATTATTTTTTAACCAATTTTTTACTGATTTATGTAATTAATATCTTATATTTGAAAATATGTAATTATATTCTATTGTAATCATTTGAGATACCTGTAGTAGCTCTAATTTCACCTTCGTGAGAAGTGTATATACACTCCCGCTCACTTAAATAGGTTCACTGTTTTGTTTACATTCAAATAAATTAATAATTGGTTATATTAAAATTGTAATTAATACCATGATGTCTTATATATCACTAGATAGACAAACATTAGTGCAATACTTAATAACCGATTTTTAATAATTTTTTTCTAAAATACTACGTTTTTGAACACTATTTTTTTGGCTCATTTGAATAGGTTCGTCATCTTTAACTGACAAAAACAACAACAAATTGCATTTTTCATGAAACTTTTTTATTTTATAAACATTTTACAAGGTTTTAAAAAAGATTTACTAACCCAGCAAAATATTTGCTTACAAATTAACTAGAAAAATCACCATTACTCATCGAGTAAAGTGCTTACAATTCTACTAGAAAAAGTACTTATTTTTGTTTGAGATGTTCCAAAAGTAAGTCAATATTATTTGGTTGGAAATAAGTTGTTTTTTAGTAGAGTTATTTATAGAATATTTATGAAAAAATAAAAATATAAAGTCGACACAGACTGGGGTTGAACTCAGTACCTTCCGTCTACCAGTTGAATGCTACTCTTACTACACCACTGCTTTGTTGTTATATTGTGCGTCAAATAATAGTTTTCACACACAAATACTATTTTATCTGTTTGTCTAAAAATATACATTTGATATCGTGTGCACAAAAAAAGGAACAAAACAGAAAAACTAACTGTTTTATTTTTGTTTGTTTCTTTATTTTGATTTATTTTAGACTTTGCCTACAAAGTAAGTCATTAATGAAGTACTTAATGGTAATCATTGTAAGCAAAGATTTTGCTGGGAAGGAACATATCCGCCGTTACTTGATATAACTCCGAAAATTCGAGATGATAAAGAGTTATAAAGATTCTTAAGTAATGGCAAGGAAATTTCGGTCCAAGCCTTTTTAGTTCTTTCAATTTAGTCTTCTTTTATGTCAAACTGTCTGCCCGACCTATACACATTACGAGAAAGAATACCCGAAACCTTTTCAATAATAAATAGGTGAGAAGATTATGGAGGCCACTCCAAAATTTTTACATTCTGGCTTCAAATCCACCCTTTTACAGCCCTGGCGGCATGGATCGGGGCATTATATTTTTAAAATATCCACGGCAATGTTTCAAAGATATCCGAAAATGTAAAAAAGCGGTTTCCAGTATGGCATTACAATTATTACTAGATGAAAGAAATTTAAGCTCACATGTTTCATAATATGAAATTGCCCCCCACTACATCCTCAACAGCTATGCAAACGACTCAGGTAGAGCTCTTCCTTTCAAAAATCATAAAAATAATGATTATATCGATCTGGACCTTCTAAATTAAACATTTTTTCATCCGAAAAAACAAGATGTTGATATAGCTTATTATAACCATATATTCATGTGCAAACTGAAGAGGATTTCTCTTTACGAGTGGCAATTGGAGTGGCTTTTATTAATTTTTTTATATTTCTAAAGCCTTGGCCCTTCTTATAATTCGTTTTACTGTAGCTAGGCTTGCTGTAACATCCACTTTTTCTCTAATTTTTGCTACAGAATCACTTGACTTGGAGGCAAATTTTTTGAAATCTATTCTGTCTGCTTTTGATTTGACTCTATATGTAGTTCCATTTATGTTTTCTTAATGTTCAAACTGTTTTCCTATAAAATTGCGAATAACATTCTGAATTTGCCCAATTTTTTTGCTAAATTCCTGTGATTTTGGACAGTTTCCAAAAACGCTTGAATTTTGTCATTTTATTCTTTAGTTAATGGATTACCGCAACCTATTTGTTAAAAAATATATCGTCTACATTCACAGACACTAGAATATGAATGGATTTTACTCACAGCCACCAGTAAACTGATTTTATTCTGATTGAACCTAATCAAGTGAGCCAAAACAATATAACTAAAAAACGTAGTATGTTAGAAAAAAAATTATTAAAAATCCGCTATTAGGTATTGCGCTAAGTTTTGTCTCACTAGTGATACCTAAGACATCATGTTATTATTTAAAATTTTAATATTACTAATTAGTCCATTATTTTTTGGAAAAAAATAATTTGAATATAAACAAAACAGTGAACCTTTAAGTGAGCGGGAGTGTAAGTATATAAGTTTGTCATTCTGTTTGTAATTTGCACAATATAATTTTCTGATTTTATAAAGTATATATATTAGATCTACTCACAAAAATGGTGCTTGAATTACCCCCCTCAAAATATTCGCTGTTATATAATATGAAGTTTCCCAAAATATTTTGGGTTCAGTGTTGTCCGGTCGTGAGCTGAACAGTTTTCAAGAAAATATCCTATGTGGGACACGATTTTTCATGTTCAATTCAACATTTTACCCATCTTCAAATAATCTTTTTTTTTTGTTTTATAATGGTTCCCAAAATATTTCTAGTCTATCGGTGGCCGTTCGTGAGCTGGACCGGTTACAAAAAGTCTCCTTTTAGTTATTTCTTCAATTTTCCAGTTTTTTTCTAAACAAAATATACAAGATGTGGTATCATTTGAAAGGTTTTGAGAAGCCATGTCTAGTAGTGTGCAAAATTTTCAAAATTTTGCATTCAATTTATTTATATTAAAGAAAAACCTAAAAATTTTAAATTTTTTGGAATATGAAAATTATGAACAGACGGTCATTTATCTTTAATACATCATTGGACGCAGCTTTAAAACCCCTTTCAAACGATACCCCATGTTGGATATATTGTTTCAAAACAAAACTAAAATTTAAAAAAATAATTCAATAATACCTTTTTTAAATTTGGTCCAACTCACGAATGGTCATTGCTAGATTTAAAATATTTTGGGAATCATCACAAAACAAATCAAGTTAAATTTTGAGAGGGGTAACAAAATCACGTTTTTGCTTTCCATACAAATCATCTAATCATGATGCATCCTGGGTTTTATATACATATACATATGTATGTAATAGGGTGATCGCCTCGGTTTTTCAACCGGTTTTAAAACCGGTTTTTTCTGCTTTACCAGTGTCGGTTTTTTCTAAATGTTGATTTTTCGAATATCGAATAACCCGGTTTTTTTACTTTTTAAAAACCGGTTTCGAATACTTTTATTTGCTTTGTATTCAAAGATTACTTAAATTAATTTTTGAAGTAGATAATAATACAGCCCGTCTAAATTTTAAAAATATTGGGGTACAGGAACTAGAGTATATTTTTCTAAAGCACCTTTGGTTAAACTTTTTTGATTTTATTAATTAATTAACAAATTTTATTTGTAAAATTGATTGGAATAACTGCTTGATAAAATTTTACCAATCTTAAGATTATATTCCTATAACAACAATTGACTTTGAAAATTGCCTAAGCAGGGATTTTAGAATAAGCTAGTATTACAAAGTTCCTTATGTTTAACAGAAGTGTCCCACTTTTTTCCTAATTTTTTATATTAAAGAAATAATGTAAATCAGACGACTAGATCTAAAGTTATAATCTTTTAAACTGTTAAAAATCAGTTCGGGCCATGTTTTATTAATCAAATTTAAACATAAACGTTAATTTTTTCAAATTAAAATAGATTTTTTATTTATAATGAAAAACCGGTTAACCGGTTTTTTCTGAATTTGAAAAATATCAACCGGTTTTTTTCAAATGTCAACTATTCGAACTATTCGAAAACCGGTTTTTGGAAAATGTCGAATAATCGATCACCCTAGTATGTAAGTATATGTATTCTGAATCCTTATAGATAACAGAGTCGACTAAGCCATGTCCGTTCGTGTGTATGTTGAACTCAATTTTCAGAAGACCCCAGATATCTTCGAAAAAAATCATGTTTAAAAAGAGCAAAATCGTCCATAATTAACAGAGATATGAGCAAAAATCCGTGACAGCCTCTAAAAATTTCATCAAAATAGAGAATTTTTGGATGCTTAGACAAAAAAAGCAACATTGGTTATTATTGCTTTACGTATTTTGTGGTTTTTTTCGTTCAGAATGTTTTTTGTTTTATTTTGATATTGCAAAAGTAAAGTTAGTCGGGAAATATAAAACAAAAATTTTATAAAATTATTTTTTAAGGTATATAAGATATGGCAAAGGCGAATGAATACACATAGAAACCATCTTCTAATATCAATTTTAATACATTAATAACATACCGTAAAAAAAATTGCTTTTACCGGATCCGTTCCTTCCAACCACAACATTATGTCTTTTATCAAAGGGTTCAACTACTGTTTGATCCTTATAGCTCTTAAAACCTTGTATAATAATCTAAAAAACAATATGTTAATTAAAAGCATTGGAATATTAAAAATTTTTGTTACTTGTTTAATATGCATCTTTTTTAATTCACACTATAAACTTTTCCATTTGTACACAAATCAGAGACCTGCGCCGATCTAATCTGACGGCGGCGGCGGCCTATGTAGAAAAGTTTCAGCGGCGGCTTTAAGTCGGCTGTGAGCCGAATAAATTTGCTATATTGCAAAATGCATAAAATTTAAAAGTAAACGTTTTTAGTATTTACGTATCCGATTAAAAAACAGATATTATTGAAGTTCTTTTAGTTTTGTGATATGAAAAGGAAAACATCAGGCCAATCAAAAATAATGCTCATAATACTAACATAATTCAAAAAACGTCTTTTCGAGAAAAATGAAAGAATGTTTTAAAACTTTTTAAATGTTTCATGATATTTTACCATTTTAACAAATTTTAAATGTATCAAATTTTCTCATTTGAATTTAAACTAAATTTTTACTTATCGAATACAATGTCTAAAAGCATCAGTTTTATTTTTTAGAAATTTTTAGCTATTTTTGAAAACAGTTATACATATTTATATAAAGAATTGGAATGCATAATTTGTAGTACTCAGTTTAAAAACACGAATTTCCAAAAACACATATTTTAAATTTTCAGTAAACAATATAAAAAGGTAATAATTATACCCTTCACCTTCGTGAGAAGGGTATATATAAGTTTGTCATTCCGTTTGTAATTTCTATAATATAATTTTCCGACCCCATAAAGTATATATATTCTGGATCCTTATAGGTAGCGGAGTTGATTAAGCTATGTCCGTCTGTCTGTCCGTCTGTGTGTTTGTTGAAATCAGTTTTTAGAGGAGCCCAGATATCGGGGTCTGTTAGACATACTTTCGAGAAGATCGCTATTTAAAATCAGCAAAATCGGTCCATAAATACCGGAGATATGAGCAAAAATCCGAGACAACCTCTGAAAATTTCATAAAAAAGACAATTTCTTTTCATGCTTTGATATAAGCAACAACAACAACACTGCTTATTCATTGAGTATTTCGTTTCATATTGATATTCAATAAGTTTGTTTTTGTTGTTGCTGCTAATTCCTAATAAATTGATTTTTCATTTCATAACCCCTACCTCCTATCTATGTAATGGTCCTTACTGCTATTGCTGCCTCCTACCATAAGCCATCTGTACGTATGATTAATTGTAGTTATTTATTGTTGGGATACAACTGATAGAGAAGTTAAGCAAACTGATGTGGGGCAAAAGTAGATTCAAATGGCACCCCATTTCTGAGCAGAAAATGAGAGCTGTCATCTTAAATGACGTTTGAAGGTAAAAACCACAAATTTCACATAAATGAGTAAACACAACGCGTATAGCCTGGGAAGATTGTTAAACATGAGCAGAGAAATATTTCTTTCAATACTTTTTTTGCAAAATATATATAACGTAGTTCAAGAATAGCTACAGTGGCCAAAAAATTTAAAATTAATCAAATGAAATTGCCAATAAATAATAAATAGAAATGTATCTTTTTAGTTAGTTAGTTAATTAGTTAGTTAGTTAATTAGTTAGTTAGTTTGTTTTTAATTTGTTTAATTTTAATACATATAGTATTAATATGCATATAGGAATAGGGGGCTCAATTTAAGCCGATATAAGCCTAACAAATTTTCGACGGCGGCGGCTTCTAAATTTATTCGGCGGTTTGGCTTAGCCGGCTGTGAGCCGAAAGGCGCAGGTCTCTGACACAAATACCTATGTAGCAGAGCCCTGCGCCTACAAATATACAAATATTAACGGCGTCGGCGGCTGAAACTAAAAATATCGGCAGCGGCTTAAAATCGGCTGAAATAAAAACTGAATCCGATAGATAAAAAGTAGGGTTCTATAAATCGACATTCGAACAATCGACTTTTAGTCGAAAAAAATCGAAAAGTCGAAGTCGACTATTTTGTTCCAAAAAAGTCGATAACTCGACTATCGTCTGTGAAAAAAGTCGAAAAGTCGACTTTGTTAATAAAAGTCGAAAAAAGTCTATAAGTCGAAAAAAGTCGAAGAATGTCGAAAAAAGTCGAAAAGTCGGAAAAAGTCGAAAAAAGTCGGAAAATCGAAAATTGTAGAAACAAGTCAAAAATAGTCAAAAATTTAAAAAAAGTGGACAAAAAGTCAAAAACCCTAAAATAGTCGGAAAAACTCGAAAAAAGTCAAAAAATAGTCGGAAAAAAGTAGAAAGAAGGCGAAAATAGTCAAAAAGTCGAGAAGTCGGAAAAAGTCGAAAAAAGTCGAAAAGTCGACTATTTATAAAATACTTATAATCGAAAACTCTAAAGTCGATTTTTATTTAAATGAAAAAAGTCGAAAAGTCGACTTTTCAAAAAATGCAAAAAGTCGAAAAGTCGACTTTTACCTAAAGAAAAAGTCGACTTTTCTTTTCATCTATAGAACCCTAATAAAAAGGTGGGAATTTGTATATAATTTATAACAATAAAATAGAGCAAGCACAAAAGTTGTGTGATTAATTATGCAGGGATGGTAAAAAAATTAAAAAAAAATTTTAAATTTGATTAATTCTTAAAATTAAAAACAAATCCCTTCACCAAGTTTCATTATGATCGGCCCATATTTGCCCATGTATTTATTTTTGCCGCATAGTGTAATCTATATAGTATAATTAATAATAATAACCTAAATAACATTTTAATTTGTTTTTTTTAACTTTCATTTGTAATATCAAAATTAATTATCATACCTTTACGTGAAATATAAATAAAATAGGAAAAACTTAGAAAAAGTTCCTTTTTATTATTTGATCCAGATCACCAAACATTGGTCAAAGGACACACATTTTGAGAAACGAGATGAGAACTACGAGATGACAAAAGTAAATTTATTTTCAATAGCTGTCGACGGTAACATGGCAGCCAGAAGGTCCATTAGCATATACCCTACAAGAACAGTGACAGTCATTTGACCGGTATTTGACCCTACAAGAACAGAGTCAGTCATTTGACTGACACTACTGAAGGAAATATCGATCATTGCGTAGAACAAAGTTTCTATCAAGTTCTTAAGGACAATATGACAAACTTGATGGAAACTTTTGTTTACATGTGATTTTGCATCTCCCTTGCACTTATGAATTCTATCGATTTTAAAACATATATTTGAGCTGCTCACTCTTTTGCTGTTTACTAATTATGGATGATGGAAATGTTAGTCAGGGTTGACTACTCAGGCTTGATGGATATATCCATCAATGTTAAAAAATACAAGTTGATGTATAAGTCAGTCATTGTTGACCAATCAATCTTGATGGATATATCCAACACAGTTGACCAATCACACTTGGTGAACATATCCGTCAAATCTGACGGCTATACCATTTTATAATAAAACACAATTTATTAATATTTTATCACATATATTTTCATTATTTTATTAATATACATATACATAAATTAACTATCACTTCACAATTTTACATATCTTATATCCTCTGATGTTGCTTTCAAATCGTGGAAATAAGTTGTCTGTAAACAAATATATGTATATACAGAAATATTGAAATATAAAAATCAAAAGTAAATATTTTTGTTACCATTGATTGAGCAAACTCCTGTGTGTTTATCTTCCCCTTCACTTCCTGCATTTTTTAAATTTAGTTTATATATAACACACTTTATTATTAATAACTTATATATTTTGTAATTTTTTTTAATTTTTTGCTTCGTCATCCTTGGCTTTTGCAGAAACAATTAATTTGTAACGACGAAAAATACAACTATAAAACGCAGTGATAGTCATTTGACTGTCATTGTTGATGGAAATATAAATTTTAATAAAATATTAATCAAAATGTAGTTGTTTCACTCTTGCGTATGCAAATGCAACTTTATGCCACACGTTTGACTGTCATTGTTGATGGAATTATCCATATTTTATAGAATCCCTTCAAACATTTAGAAGACAAAACTATTGCGCATCACCCCAGTCGCCACGTCAGAAACATTTCTGGACGATTGTCAGACGAGAACGCACATTTTACAAAAACAAAATACATTGATTTCGAATTTTTGTCTTCTAGAAATATACTTTTAAGTTACTTCCGGATGATAGTTAGAAGAGTGCATGCATTTTGCTTAAACAAAAAACCATGACTGTTGATTTTTTTCATCTGGAAGTATACCTTTTAGTGACTTCTAAATAATAACAAAATACATTGTTTCCTAATTTGTATCTTCTTAATTTGTATGTTTATATCACTTCTGGAAGACAGTTTGAAGAGTGTTCACATTAATGTTGTATTTTATTCATCTGGAAGTGTGGATTGTAGTCACTTCTGGACGATTGTCAGATGAGAGCATACATTTTACAAAAACAAAATACATTGATTTCTAGTTTTCGCCGTCTGGAAGTATAGTTTTAGGTTACTTCCGGATGATAGTAAGAAGAGTACAAAAACAAAAAAATATAAATACTCCATTTTTTAGCGTGAACGCGAAAAAATAAAAATAAATAATGCAGAAATTTGCTAAGTTCAGTGATGTTTTTTGTTTTGTCCAGTCATGTTCAGTTTTAATTATTCATTGTAAAACTTAAATGAGTTATTTAATTTAATATTCATGGAAAAATAGTGTAATTAATATATTGTGAATCTTAAGTAATAAAAAACAATATGACAGTGTTGTGTTAAAAGTCAACTGTTAATAAAGTTTTAAGAAGGTTTTGTTAATTGGTGAAGTTTATTAAATATATACCAAAAAGTAATCTTCAAGGATTATATAAATAAAATTAAAAAGTAAGTTGTTGTAAAATATACATTAAAATACCATTTTAGGAAAAAGTTTACAACTCTAAACGGCTTCCATTTCCATTATTTTGTTTAATTAAAAATATTTTTATATTAAATTTCGTCTCTCTCTTAATTGGTTTAGGAGTTGCTTATCATTTAAAGACTTTTTTCAAGTTGTACGTTTCGGCTTTCATTTGATGAACATTGCATTTTTAACCTATTTAGATTTATTTGAGTTAAATCTTAACTTTCAATATTTTTTAAACTATTTGCGCGTTTAGATCCTGTTTCTAGATTACGTATGATCACTTTGAGCTAACATTTAATTTGTATTTCATTATCGTAAATACAT